TTGGGGAGCAGTCTTTTACTCCACAATAGACAACCAAAATAGCCTCATTAAATGATGTTACAATTCTAGTGTGGATAAAGAGTTAAAAATCAAGATGCATTCTATGAGTAATGTTATAATTGGAACCAAAATAAACTCATGACTTTAAATCTCTCTCTTCTAGTTCTGTTCACTAAAATGACAAAAATAACAATATTTCCCCACTGCAGCAGTCTAGAATGTATCGCAAGCGCTTTGGTCTCTCATACCATGTTCTCCATTCCCTTGGAAAGACAGTTAATTCCATTCAGAGTGAGAAAGACACAGAGTGGGAAAGACACAAAGGGGGCTTGGAACAATCAGTTAACATCAGAAAACAAAAAGGAAGGGGGCGCGGTGGCTCAAGCCTGTAATCCCAGCACTTTGGGGCCGAACGGCGGATCCGAGGTCAGGAGTGAGACCATCCTGGCTAACACAATGAACCCGTCTCCACTAAAATACAAAAAAATTAGCCGGGGTGGGGCGCCTGTAGTCCAGCTACTCGGGAGGCTGAGGCGGAGAATGGCGGGAACCCGGGAGGCGGAGCTTGCAGTGAGCTGAGATCGGCCACTGCACTCCAGCCTGGGCGACAGAGCGAGACTCCGCCTCAAAAAAAAAAAAAAAAAAAAAAAAAAAAAAAAATATATATATATATATATATATAATATATATATATATATATTATACGGGATCCTATCAAAAGAACAAGAGAAGACAGCTTACAGTGTCTCCAAATGGTCGCGGTATGAATATTTGAGCCTCAGAAAAAACTATGCTTAGGCTAAATAGTGTGTTTTAAAAAAAAAAAAAAGGCCGGGCGCGGTGGCTCATGCCTGTAATCCCAGCACTTTGGGAGGCCGAAGCAGGCGGATCACGAGGTCAGCTGATCGAGACCATCCTGGCTAACACGGTGAAACCCCGTCTCTACCAAAAATACCAAAAAAAAATTAGCCGGGCGTTGTGGCATGCGCCTGTAGGCCAGGCTACTTGGGAGGCTGACGCAGGAGAATGGCGTGAACCCGGGAGGCGGAGCTTGCAGTGAACCAAGATCGCGCCACTGCACTCCAGCCTAGGCGACAGAGCGAGACTCCGTCTCAAAAAAAAAAAAAGAAAATATTTTCTTTTCAAATAACTAGTATTTTATTTGGGTATGAAAAAATTGTTGCTTTAGTTTAATTTCACATATATTATCAAGAGATTAAAGTATATCCATTTAAGGGATAATAGGATCAAAAGAACAGAAAGACAAGACTTTTTTCCCCATAAAACATCAGTGGACAGGCTAATGAAACTTCCTGCTACTCCCCCACAGACTACTCTCTTGACACTTGCCTATTACATGACATGCTCCTCATTATCTCAAACATTAACAAAGTGTGTCATGACAGTTTGACAGGTTTGAGAAACCCTTCTAAAAGGTATATAGCCTTGGACACTAAGTGAACTTGCAGCACCAGATCCCAGTGAACTTTACCTTTACAATGTATTTGAAATAAAAGAAATATTCTTTTCCTTTTAATTTATTTCGTGATAGATTCAAACAATTGCTGCTGGTTGATTCTCTTACCTTGTGTGATTCATTAAGACAAAATCCTTCCTAAAGACAATGACAGAAGCCAAAGACTGACATATTGAGCCTTCTTATAATAACAATCTAGAAATAAGAGCTTTTGTAATCCTAGACTAACCCTGTTTTTCCTAGTCTATACCAAGAGATGATCTAAAGGAAATAATTTATTTGGGAGATACCCCAAAATTAATATTTTAATTTTATTTATAAATATTATGCAAATTTTGAATAATTTAAATGTTAATATATTAATATTAATACACTTTAATTTTAATTAGTTTACACTCCCAATCCATGAATATTTGATGACTTAAAATTATAAAAGGCAAATTATATAATTTTAATAGTAGTTATTATTTAAATATATAACTATTATGTTAACATTACTTTGAAAGTTACTGTGCTTTTTTTTTTTTTTGAGACAAGGTCTCGCTCTGTCAGCCAGGCTGGAATACAGTGGTGCCATCTCAGCTCACTGCAACCTCTACCTCCTGGGGTCAGGTGATCTTCCCACCTCAGCCTCCTGAATAGCTGGGACTACAGGCGTGCCCCACCACATCTGGCTAATTTTTTTATTTTTTGTAAAGACAGGGTTTTGCCATGTTGCCCAGGCTGGTCTTGAATTTCTGGGCTCAGGTGATCTGCCTGCCTCAGCCTCCCAAAGTGCTGGGATTACAGGAGTAAGCCACCACGCCCCGCCTGTGCATTTTTTTTTTTAAGTAAAAAGAATTCTCATTAAGAAGTAAAGTAAGTTGCACAGTGTAAATACATTAAAGAGGGAATACATTAAATACTTTCCCATTTAAAAATTTAAAAATGGGAAGGTATTTAAAACTATGGAAAAATCAGGTACAGGAAACTGAATGTATTAAAATTTTATACAGTAAAACGCTGTTTATCCAGCACCATCAGGATGTGTGTGTGTGTATGTAAAGGAGTGCCCACTTCTCTATACCCAAGCTGCATTTATGTCTAACTGAATTTAGATTAAATAAATACTAGCTAAACTTGGATTGGGCCTGTTAGAAAGGTATAGGCAGATACAAGAAGTACTGAGGTTTTCAATAAATGCAGTTACTTAATACAGTTACTTAATAAATGCAGTTACTTAATCCACCTGTGATGTTTGTGTAATATAACCTCAAAACCGTCTAGTAGTTTAGAAAAAAATGTGTCAAAGCTCTACTTTTCATTATAAAAACCTATGTGCCTTATCTTTTGCATCTCCCAACAATTGTTTGAATAGTGGCCATATAAAAGAATGCATAGCTGGTTTACATCAAGCTCAATGATATATTTATTTTGGTATACTTACTTTAAAAACAAAATTAAAATTAGAGAAAAAGTAGAGAGACATACAGAGAAAGCAGCCATGTACCACTGCCTGCTCTATATATTCCTTAATCCACTTCTGTAGAAGAGAGGTAATTACATATTCCAAGACATCTTCTATTATTACAACCTGTACATAGTTTCCTTATGTCTTATAACATCTATATATTCAACACAAAATTACTCCTTTTTCTGGGAAGTGTCTTTTCATTTCCTACAACGCTTTTCTTTCTTCCCAAGAAAGATTAGCAAACGGGGTACAAAGAAAGAGAACAGGCTGGCCAGGCACAGTGGCTCAAGCCTGTAATCCCAGCACTTTGGGAGGCCGAGGCGGATGGATCATTTGAGGTCAGGAGCTCGAGAACAGCCTGGACAACACGGTGAAACCCCGTCCCTACTAGAAATACAAAAATTAGCCAGGCGGTAGTGGCCTGCGCCTGTAATCCCAGCTACTCAGGAGGCTGAGGCGAGAGAATCCCTTGAGCCTGGGAGGCAGAGGTTGCGATGAGCCGAGATCCGGCCACTGTACTTTAGTCTGGGCCAGAGAGTCTGGGCCAGAGAGTGAGACCCTGTCTCAGGAAAAAAGAAAAGGGTGGGGAGAGGGAAGGGGGGGGGGAAGGGGAAGATGAAAGGCGGAAGGGGGAAGGAGGAGAGGGGGAATTTATAGTGTTAGGTAAGAGACTGCACTGAGTTAAGTGGGTGTCCAGGGACTCCTACCCAACCGTCCCAGAGTGTACTGTGCGACAGTGTTAAAGTCATTTCAAGTCTCCATACATGTCAGTCACTTGTGACTTGCTGATCTACAACTACCAAAATACAATAACTGGTGTTAGTAATAATGATCATCAGACACCAAAAGACAGTAGCATCTTCATTATGTTCTGGTCCTTTATGTCAAGGAAGAAAAATGTTAGAAAACTTTTTATTAAAAACAGCTATAAATCATAAGTGCTAGTATTTAAAGAGCTAACTTTAGTTACCTAGGACACTTCATCTAGAACTTTTCCCACCACTATTCATAATTTAGATTGTGTTGTATTTTCAGTTTTTAAATCTGATTTTTAACTAGGATCATTTAGCAATTCTGAAATATAGATTTGCATAATCAGCATGCACGATAGTGCTTTTTTCACACCTGTTAAATTGTGTTAAGTGAAACCAAACTGCAACATACTAAATGCCACAATGAACTACAGTTAGACTAAATAGGCAAGCCTCACGTACCTGACTTAAATACTAAGTGCCTCAAAGTGTCCACATGATATTGTTAATATAGTAAAGTCTTAGCACCCCTGAATTTGACCTTATTGGTTTTCAGCTTTCAGGGAGGGACAAAAATTGCTCCTTGGCAAGTCTTAAGTTATAATCCTGCTTAACTAAGGCTTTGAACGCCGTGTGCGCGAGCATGCTCTCTGGGAGCGCATCCTCAGGTGAGTGTCCCAGAGCGCGACCCACAATCTACATGTTTTACCGTACGGGTCAACCTTTTTCTGCACAGGGCCAGATAGTAAAAACTTCAGGCTTTGCAGGCCAGACTGTGTGGCAACCACTTAACTCCGCCCTTCTAACGTGGGAAAGCAGCCATGGGCAATACATAAAGGAATGAACGTGGTTGTGTTCCAATAAAACTTTATTCATGAAAAATGAAATGTGTACGTCATGCTTTTCCACACGTCATGAAGGAGTACATTTCATATTTACATTTGAAAATGTAAAAATCATTCCTGGCTGGCCAGCCACCTGGCGACGTGGCCGGCTGGCAGCAGCCACCCGACCCCTGCACACGCCCAATGGCTGGGAAGGACCGGGTGGGCAGAGAGGCAGAGGCAGGTGAGGGGATTCCACCCGCGCCCACGGCCCGCAGGCGCCTCCCGTCTTATCTGGGCCCCGCCGCCTGAGTTGCTGCGATCCCTGACCAGGAGAGGAGAGGGACACTCCTCGGCGTCGAGGCCAGGACCCTGGACAGTGGGGGAGGGAGGCATGTGGGACCAGGGAGAAGGGCCAGGCTTCGAGGTCGCGGAGCTCGGGAGGTTCCCCCAGGGTGTCCCCGGTCCGCTGCCTCCTCAGGCCGGTCACTCACTCGGATAAGCCGGCACGGACGAAGACCATAGCAACAGCGCAACTAGAAGGACTAAAGACTTCATAGGCGTCGTCCGCAGCACTCTGCCATGCGACCGGAACGTCCTGGGGCCACCAGGCCGGGAACCTCAGGACCGAAAGGGAAGGTGTCAGCGGAGGACCGTTCTGCCTCAGACCCTGGGACACCCCGCAACGGTTGTCCCCAGCGCGCAAGCGCAGCGGTGTGGGGAAGGAGCGAGCGAGCGGCCAAGGCCCGCCCCCTCCTGGGGCTGCGTGCAGGGGGCGGGGGACCGCGTGCGCCCCGCCCCTTGCTAGTGCGCATGCTCGTTCCGCCTCCGAAGGTCTGCGCTGGGCGCGGGCGGGGAACGCTTTGACCCAGTGCTGCTGAGTGCGCGGTGGTGCCTCGGGGCGGGCGGGGCTTGGCCCGTCCTGCGCTCTAGGGATACAGCCGTGGTTTAAACGCGGTCCCTGCGAGGAAGGAACTGTAATGGGAGAGGCAGATAACCTGGCAATTATCACAGCGTGAAAGGGCTGTAGTGGGGGAAGCGCTAGGTACTGCGGCGCACAGTGGAAACCCACCCCCGGAAGCGGGTTGAGAGCTTGGCTAAGTGGAGTACGGCCTGGAGCGCCCCAAGAACTGAGCATAGTTCCGGCGAGTTGCATTGCGGGGTCTGGGAGGGCAGTTGTTGGCGGAAAGGGAGGAGAGGTAGACAAGGGCATTAAAAACACCGTAAGGGGTTTGGGTGTTTTTGTTTTTCAAAAGATCACATTCCTAAAAAGATAGGGGTAGGGATGAGGGAGAGTTGGACTATGAAAGGATAACGTGAGGGTGTTTCGGGGACTGATAGATGGCGGTGGCCACAAGAATCTATACATGTGTTAAAATTCACAGAAAGCCAGGCGTGGTGGCTCACGCCTGTAATCCCAGCACTTTGGGAGGCCGAGGTGGGCGGACCACCTGAGGTCAGGAGTTCGAGACCAGCCTGGCCAACATAGTGAAACTTCGTGTCTACTAAAAATACAAAATTAGCCAGGCGTGGGTGGTGACATACGCCTGTAGTCCCAGCTGCTTGGGAGACTGAGGCAGGAGAATCGCATGAACCAAGGAAGCAGAGGTTGCAGTGAGCCGAGATCGTGCCACTGCACTCCAGCCTGGGCGACAGAGCAAGACTTCACCTCAAAAAAAAAAAAAAAAAAAAAAAGAATTCACAGAACTGCACATCCCAAAGAATCTGTTTTTCTGCATGGTTATTTTTAAAAATTCACATACACTAATCTCTGCCTCAGGAAGCAAGGGGCTTGGATTTTAGTCTGAGGCACCAGAACTAGAGTACTGCCAGGTTTTGAGCTGGGAACGGTTGTGATTAGATTTGTGTTCCAGAAAGCTCACTCTTCCTGTAGCATCAAGAATGGACTGGAGGGAAGCAAGACTAGAGGCCAGGAGCCAAGTGAGGAGGCTGCTTCAGCAATCCAGGGATGGAATGATAGGGCTCTGGATTCATGGTGGCAGAGGACACGGGACACGGGAACAGATCTAAGAGACCTTTAGAGCTGGCATCAACAAGATTAGGGAATTGATTAAATGTGGGAAAGGAAAGAGAAGGAAGCAATGCCACAACTTCTGTCTTGAGCATCTGGATAGGTAGCGGTGCCATTTACTGAGATGGGAACAGAGGGTACGTGCGGGAGTGAAAAAAGAAGAAGAGTTTCATTTTCAACACTGCTATATTGAGATGGATTTGAGACCTCCTACTGGAGGGGCTTGTCCAGCGAGCAGATGGGTGTGGGACCCCAAAGAAAGCTGAGATGGAAATGAAGCATTCAGAGGCATTAGCATCTAGTGGGGATGTCTGAGACTGCCCAAGGAGAGTCTTTACAAGGAGAAGGCCACTGGGGCCTAGAACAGATCCCTAGGACACATGGGAGACTATAGAGAGGAGGATAGACCTGTAAAGGGGGCCAAAAGTAGGGAGAGGAAAACCAGGAAAGCACAGAAGCGTCATGGAAGAGGAGGAATTCAAGACTCTTAAGTGCTTCTGAGCAACAGTAGAAGGACTTAGATTTAGCAGCAAGATTCTTAGCAGAAGCAGTTTCAGTGGAGTGGCTTGGGCAGAAGTCAGAGCATAATGAGTTGAGGAAAGAGTAGTAGGTGATGAAGTGCTGATAGCTAGTACAGACAACTTTTTTAAGGTGCAGAAGTCTTTAATGTGCTCCACCAATGCTTAATCCAAATATAGCAGCATCCTAGAATCAAACAGTTGCAACTACAGCCATGTGTTGCTTCATGATGGGGACACATTCTGAGAAATAAGTCATTGTGAAAACATCATAGTGTACTTACACAAACCTAGATGGTATAGCCTACTTCACATCTAGGCTACATGGGATAACCTATCTAGAAATGTGTACAGCAGGTTACTGTACTGAATACTGTATGCAATTATAATACCATATTTCTAAACATAGAAAGGGTGTAGTGAACATACAGTATTAGAATCTTATGGGACCACCATTATATAGGCAGTCTGTTGTTGACTGAAACATCCTTATATGGTGTGTGACTGTATTTGGAAAGCAACTTGGAATACGTAACAAAAGCATTAACATTATATAAATATTGTGACATAAATTACATAACAAATTCAGGGGGCCAGGAGTGGTGGCTCACTCCTGTAATCCCAGCACTTTGGGAAGCTGAGGCGGGTGGATCACTTGAGGTCAAGAGTTCGAGATCAGCCTGGCCAACATGGTGAAATCCCATCTCTACTAAAAATACAAAAATTAGTCGGGCATGGTGGCAGGTGCCTGTAATCCCAGCTACTTGGGAGGCTGAAGCAGGAGGTGAACCCAGGAGGTGGAGGTTGCAGTGAGCCAAGATCGTACCACTACACTCCATCCTGGTCAACAGAGCAAGACTCCATCTAAAATAATAATAAAATAAATAAATTCGGGGGAGACAACTTTATGCCCTAAAATAATCATAATGTGTTATGTATGATATAAAAATAAAATACAAGAGAATGGTAATATTATGGGCTAAATGTTTGTGGACGCCCAAAATTCTTTTCATTTTTTTTCTTTCTTTATATCCAGAATACATGCTGGAGTTTCCCCCAAAAAATCATATGTTGAAGTCCTAACCCCTGTGTGATGGGTAAGAGATGGAGTCTTTGGGAGGTGATTATGGTCGTGGAGGTGTAGCCATCATGAACGAGGTTAGTGCCCTTATGACAGAGACCCCAGAGAGTTCCCTCATTCGCACCCCATGTGAGGCTATAGCAAAGATGGCCATCTGTGACCCAGGAAGCAGACCTCCACCAGACACTGGATCTGCCCATACATTCATCTTGAACTTCCCAACCTGCAATTGTGGAAAATAAACGTTTGCTGTTTAAGTCACCCAGTCTATGGTATTTTTCTTATAGCACCCTAACGAGACTAAAATAGGTAGGTTATATTTGTTGGTTAAAATATCTGACAGCAAAAGTATATCTCATTTGGAGAAATGCTGATGTTGTAGTGGATCATATTTTATTAGCTGAAGTCCACCTTCCCTGGGCTTCCTTGCCCCATTACCATTTTTCCTGCATTAAGACATCAGTGATCATCTTAATGCACTTGCCTCATGGAAGGATAGCAACATTCTTGAACCTGGAAGTTAAGTGAGGTGCTGGAATTTTGTTTGTTCATTTTTGCTTTTTTTCGTCATGGTAGGGTTGAAAGACAAAGAACTTTTGTAAGAGCTGCTGCTTACGTGAAAAGTTTTGTTTGCGTTTGTTGTGTGTTTTTAGTGAAAATGCCAGGCTTTGAATATCAAAAGCCAAGGAAACTCAAGGACAGGAGACCATGAGCCATAGATTGGGGTTGGATTCAGGATGATGTAAGGTCCATTTTCCTGACACAGAATTACATTTTTGGGAACAGAAGAGGGGGCTGCAGTGTGCAGACAGAACCTCCTGGCTGGTTTTGGGGGTTGCAGAGATTGCTCGTGTCTCCTTTCCAAAGGAGAGTTCAGGGAAAACTGCAAACTTTTTAGACACGCTGTGCATCCAGCATGGGGCCAAAGCAGCTGCGCAGCTATAGTTGACTTAGCTACTTGAGTGGACAAGTCAGGCAGACAGATCACCAGCAGAGCCCAGAAATGCTGAGCGAGGGCCTCTGAACTCAGACAGGTCTGGGCTTAGACCAGAAGGAAGCCAAGTGCATGGATCTGGCATATGGTAAGTACTGGGTAAATATTAGCTTGAGTATGGGCTGACTTAGTGACTTGATTCTGATGAATAGAATATAACAAAAGTGATGGCCTATCACCTAGGTGATTAGTACATAAAAAGGCTACAGCTTTCATCTTGGGCACCCCCGTCACTCTCTTACTCACTCCTAGGGAAGCCAGCTGCCATGTTGTGAGCTGCTGTACAGAGGGACCCACATGTTTAGGAATGGATGTCTCCAGCCAACAGCCAGTAACAACCTGAGGCCTGACAACAATCAGGTGAGTGAACTTGGAATAGATCCTCCCCAGGTGAGCCTGGAGTTGACCACAGCCCAGCTGACATCTTGATTGCAACCACCTGAGAAACTCAGCAATGGAGGCACCCAGTTGAGCCATGCTTAGATTCCTGACTCACAGAAACTGTAAGATAGTAAATGTTTGTTATTAGATGGAGGGGGAGAAAGCATTTGCCTAAGCAATGGATACATACAGGGGTCTCTGTTGATTTGCTCCTTGAAAGAGACCGCACTTGGAAAGGCACCTGCAGTTGGGTACACTACTTGATTGGGTTTATAATTGTCAGTCATTCTTCCAGGTCCATCTGTTTTCATCACCAGTCAAGCTGGAAGGTAACTATAAATTCAGATATTTGAGGGTGACACTATAGCTAGTCTCCAAGGGATTGTTATAACTTGTTCATTACTATTTTGATTGGGGGTGGGAGAGTGTAATAAAGCTCTGTGGATTCTTCATAGTCTTTTCTATCATACTTGCCCTTGTTCTAAAGGTTAGGAAACCAATGTGAAGATTCTGCCTTTTGTCCTTTAAATGTACACTCAGGAATTGGGGAAAAACCACTGGAAGGGTTTAGGGTTCCATTGAACTTACTGTAAGGTGGACTTGGGTTAGAATTCCTTTAATTACCTCACCACTGTAAACCCCACTCTAACCAGTGAACTACTGTGGCATAGTGCGATTTTCCTTTTTTTTCAGGGCAGATTTATCCACAGGTGATCACTG